GTTCTTGAGAAGATATTCAAAGATGTTTCCTATGTATTTCTATGTAAAACTTTGATTCCCCATTGTGGCCCCGCCCCTCCCCCAGGGGTCATGATTTAAAAAATTTAGAATCTACACTATACCAGGATGCTTCTATATAAGTTTCAGCTTTTGTGGCCCAGTGGTTCTTGAAAAGAAGATATTTTAATGACCCCACCCTATTTTTGTCTTTTCTTGATAATCTCCCCTTGTGATGGAACTTGGCCCTTTATTTTAACAATTTAAATTCCCCTTCACCCAAGGATGCTTGGTACCAAATGTGGTCAAATTTGGCCCAGTGCTTCTTGAGAAGAAGTCGAAAATGTGAAAAGTTTACAGACGGACAGACAGACAGACGGACGGACGGAGGACGATGGACAAAATGTGATCAGAAAAGCTCACTTGAGCCTTCGGCTCAGGTGAGCTGAAAACTAGTTCAAATTCTTCACAAGAATAACAAAGCCATGATTGATTGTCAATATAAAATCATAACATTGTTTTTTGTGATACAGTATTATCATAAGCATTTCCCATATAAATTGGGAACCAACCCTTTCTGTAACATTAACAATGCTGCATTTGATTTTTTTCTTTAAAGTTTATATCATCTGAATAAGCATGATAAAACCAACATTATGGAGCAATTTTCACTCTATGCATGTTACCTTCTGCAAAGCAGCTTGACCATGTTAGTCAGATTAAAAATAAGAGGCATCCTCAGGAAGTGTTGATTCAAGGTAACTTTTATTAGTATGGTTAGGTTATGATCCTTTGAGCAAAGTGAACCGTTTAGAGCTAGTAAATAGCCATTATATTGGATGAGAAATATTTAGAAGTATAAAAATATATTTTTTATATTATAGTTTAGAACAACTCATAGGCCAATAAGACTTTAAGGTAAGCTTTGTATCTTATGGGCCTCGTGTAGTATTGTTAAACTATTTGTTTACTTCTTCAGGAAATAGAGAAGTACTTTGAAGACTTCTGGAATGCTGTACCAGATGAGGACAGAGATTGGTTAAGTGAGTCTCTGAATGATCGTGATTATGCTGTGGGTCTAGTTGAACTAAATGAGGAAACAAAGACAAAGCTTGAATCAATGAAAAAGTCCATTGTTGAACTATTTACAGTCGTGATCAATACAAAAATTGAAATTCCATCTTCGTGGGCTCTAATGGAGCAGTTATTATATGAAGGGGCCTGGAAGGTTTTGTCCCTTGCAGAAATTTGGAGGCTCAACTCATCCCTTCCTGATGCATACCAAATTAAAAGTGATGAGGAAATGTCTATGTTTCTAAAGTGTTTCCATGACAATGGTATCATTTTGCATTTTCAAGATGAGAAATTGAGGGAACATGCAGTACTTGACATTCAGTGGTTTGCTAAAGCTTTCAGTAAGATTATTGCTGATAAAAACCACATTAACAAAGACTGCAAAACAAGATTAATCAAAGAGTGGAAGTCCTTCAACAAAACAGGGGAACTTAAAGATAAAGTGGTAAATGCACTATGGAAAGAAGAACCACTTTACTTGAAACACAAAAATGAAATTATGTCTTACATGGAGAAGCTTCAAATGCTGGTACCTTTGGAGCCCTCTGGGGCTGTATCAGAAGGTGGCATGTCATGGTATGTTCCGTGCATGAACAAAAAGCAGTTTCTAGCCAACTTTTGTGAAGATAAATGGGAATGCTCCTCCATTTTGTGCTATCATTTCACTTCTTTTGCCATGTTTGTGTTCTACAGACTGGTAGCATACTGCATGGGTTTTCTAAGATGGAAAGTTTCAACAGATGAAGATCATGAAGGAAGTCTATGTCTTTATCAAACAGCAGCAGTGTTTGATCACAATGAACACACTGTTGTTGTTGGCATATGTAACGATGATATTCAGTTACAAGTGTTGCGAATCAGACCATTGGCTATAGATAGAGAGGTATCAAATGAAATTGGAGACTCTATTCAAAATGCCATAAAAAAGTTGACAGAAACATTTATTGGCACAAACATTTTCCATAAAGGATTCAAATGCCAAAACATTATTTGTGATGAGAAAGATTTATCTTTCACTCTTGAAAGTGAGCTGTCCGAAATCAAAGCTGAAGAAACGCAGTGCAAGTGCCAACTTCAGAGAAAACACGTGATAAATGTTCAAAAGACCCTAGGCTTCTGGGAGAAGGTAATTACATATGTATAACATATTACAACCCACCTCTTCACAAATGAATGGGTTCAAAGTGGTCAATGTTTACATATGTTTGTTTTTTCTTGCAAAATTTTATCTACACTTAGGCTAGTATTTATTACAAAAATACATAGAAAATGCAAAACGACATCATTTTAATACGAACTGAAAGAAAAATCCTGACTTGATAACTTTAAAGGTCTTTTTGGACAAGAGCAATGTCACAAACAAATGAACATGAATATTATATGGAAAGAATTAGGACTTTCTAGTGGTACACAATGTAAATCATTTTCTAGCATTCATTGTTTACAATGGAAGTTAATTTCACTCGGAAAGACTGTTTAAAAACAGGTGGGTTTGTTAAATAACAGAATACCCATAAGATAATTTTCTCAAATCTTTAAGATTATTTTTCAGACTGTGTGCATTGAACATTTCGTTTCATCTTTCAATATCAATGTAAACTTAATAGCAGTATCTATTCTTCATGTATTTGACCTTTTTAAATTGCAACATGTTGAATCTAATACATTTTATCAAATATTTGGAACTGTTACCTAGTCAAACATTTCTTTTATTTTGAAAGTTCACAGAGGCGTAGAATACGGTCAAAATTGGGAGTCAAACTTTAAGAAAACAAAAATCTTTACAAATTGTCTTTTTTCAAAAATAACAAAACAACAGTTGATATGAAGGCATTCTTGAGCAGTGTTCATATAATGACATAAGGGATGGCAAAAATAACAAATATTTTTGAAAGAATGTCTAAGCAATAATGATTTATAGCTCAAAATGCTAATGCTTTGGCCATTTGTGCGGTGTGCGGTGTGCGTTAACTTTTTAGAATATGGGCCATAACTCAAGAACCCCTTGGCCAATCAGTGTCAAATTTGTCACAGGGTATCCTTGGCCCAAGGGCTACCTTTTATACTAAAATAAGGGTTGGGACCCTGAATCAAGGGGAGATAATCAGGAAAACAAAACAAAAAGCACTTGTTGCTAAAAAATCTTCTTCTCCAGAACCACCGGGCAGATTTTCACCAAACTTACATACAAGGATTAGGATATTTTCGACATTTTATGGCTATATTTAAATTTTCCGGCACTTATTGGCTTAGAATCATCAAACTTTGTCAGTTGATGCATCTTAGGTTTTCAGAGAATGTCGACCAAAAAGTACATGTATGTCACAGTGACCTACTTTTTGACATTTTATGGCCATATTTATATTTCTCTAGTACTTATTGGTTTAGAATCATCATATTTTGTCAGTTGATGCATCTTTGGTTTTCGGAGAATTTCGACCAAAAAGTAGGTTATGGTGACCTACTTTTGAATATCTCAGGTATTTATCGCTTAGAATTATCAAACTTGGTCAGCAGATGCATCTTGGGACTCTAAAAAATGTCAACCAAAAAATGTAGGATACGATGACCTACTTTCAACATTTTATGGCTATATTTAAGTATTCTCCAGTACTTACTGACTTAGAATCATCAAACTTTGTCAGTTGGTGCATCTTGGATTTTCGGAGATTGTCGACCAAAAATTATGTCACAGTGACCTACTTTTTGACATTTTATGGCTATATTTAAATATATCCGGCACTTATTGGCTTAGAATCATCAAACTTTGTCAGTTGATGCATCTTGGGTTTTCAGAGAATGTTGACCAAAAAGTAGATCACAGTGACCTATTTTTTGACATTTTATGGCTATATTTATGTATCTCTAGTACTTATCGATATAAAATCATCATACTTTGTCAGTTGATGCATCATGGATTTTCGGAGAATGTCGACCTACTTTTGAATATTTCAGGTATTTATTGGCTTAGAATTATCAAACTTGGTCAGCAGATGCATCTTGGGACTCTAAAAAATGTCAACCAAAATGTAGGACACAATGACCTACTTTCGACATTTTATGGCTATAATTAAGTATCTCTGGTACTTATTAGTTAAGAATCATCAAACTTTGTCAGTTGATGGAACTTAGGTTTTCTGAGAATGTTGACCAAAGAGTTAGTCACAGTGACCTTCTTTTGAATATCTCAGGTATTTATTGGCTTAGAATTATCAAACTTTGTCACTTGATGCATTTTGTGATTTCCAGTAGACCAAAAATAAGTTCTAATTGGCTAAGAATCATTAAACTTTGTCAGGTGATGCAACTTGGGTCTTTAATAGGATACTTAGGGTTAGAGGCTTCAAATACAAGTGATAGGTTGTACAAATTATCAGAAGAACGATTCAAGGCCCTTGGGCCTCTTGTTTAGATGTATCCCCACAATTGTTTAAATCCAGGCCCTCACATTACGCCCTGGGTAGGGTGGTAGAAACCCCCAAATTCTCACTCAGTGATGTGTGGACTGGGATATTACCCTTGTTTATACGGGAAAGAAGCTGGAAACCATGGCATGACACAAATAGATGTATTGAAATCTGGTTTGTACATAGTAAAAGAGTTTCAAAGATTGATGAACTAGTCATACAATGAATAAGCATTCATTTATTTAGTCATACAATGAATAAACGTTTAATAGACCTACAAAAATGACAAAAAGGTATAAAGCCGGACGTCATAAGTGGAGATTGCCGCTTACTATGCCAGCATTCAGCTTATTGATTGGAAAAATTGTCTATTAAAATTTTTTAACGATTCCTTGATTTATTTTTTAACTGCAGCTTTTGTGAAGGGGAGAAATGTATAACTAAAAGAAAATCAAATGCAGTATCAAAAAAAGTCATGCTTTGAGCAATTTTTGTTAAAGATCAATGTTTCCTGGTTCATTGATCGAAGATAAAAATGTCATTTACAGAGATATTGAAATTTTTGTGAATTATATACACTGTAGCAAATGTTGATTATGAAGTACATGTTTACCAAATCTTAACTTTATAATGAAACAACAAATATTGAAAATGTTTGCTTTTTTCTGGGAAAACCCTCATATTAGCCAGACATTAATTTATTCTTTAGAATGAAAATTATCTTTTAACTTCATATTTCTGCTAAGATGGCCTTAAAAGTATTATTATCGTTATCTGCTTTCAGAGAAAGTTGGGTGATTCAAGCAGCCAAATGGCCTCTGCACAAGAGCTTGATGGTAGAACTAGGTTTGCAAAACTTGGAATGGCAACAAACGATGTGTTGAATAAGGCATACCGAGATATTCTTGAATCAGAAGTACCTCCCTGCTATATTGAGAACAAGGTGAATTCATTATCAACCGAAAAGAGAAGAGATCTGAAGTTGAACACAGACCAAGAAGATCTGTTGAAAAAAGCAAAGAATTCTGGATATAAGGACTTTGATATTTCATTAACCTACAAGATGATAAGAAACATTTGTTTAACTATCCCAAAACCAACAAAAGGAAAATGGGGAAAAGAGCCGGCAGTAGGAGAAATGACTGTAGGAGACGATATTGAGAGAATTAGGTCAATACGAAATAGATTGACTGCACATGTGAGTTCAGCCTCAATCCCTAAGACAGAATTCGATGACACTTGGTCGACGATGTCAGATATCTGCCAAAGACTAGAAACCTTCACTGGAAAGAAGTACTTGGATAAACTTAATGAGATTAAAAATCTGACCTTGAGAAAGGAAGATAACGATGAGATTATAAAAAATGTCGCTAAAATGCAAGAAATTTTGGACACAATCAAGTCAACTCTTCAAAAATAAGAAACAATGATCAGCCTAATGAAGTTGTTACAAATTGAGAATTTATAGAATGCTCTGTAGAAGACTTAGATTTATGTGTACAAACGATGTGTTAATTAAAGCATACAGGGGTGTTCTAAAATCAGAAATACCTGCATCTGATATTGAGTACAAGGTGAAATTGTTATCAATCAAAAAGAGAAGAGATCTGAAATTGAACCCAGACCAAGAAGATCTATTTACTTCAAGATGATAAGAAACATTTGTTTAACTATCCCAAAACCAACAAAAGAAGAATGGGGAAAAGAGCCAGCAGCAGAAGAGGTGACTGTGGCTGACGATATTGAGAGAATCAGGTCAATACCAAATAGATTGACTGCGCATGTGAGCTCTGCCTCCACCCCTCAGACAGAATTTGATGACACGTGGTCAATGATGTCAGATGTCTGCCAAAGACTGGAAACCTTCACAGGAAAGACGTACCTGGATGATCTTAAATACATTCAAAAACTGACTATGAAAGAAGAAAATAAAAAGGCTATTATAGAAAATATTAAAATGGAAAGTGACCGTGAAATGCTGAGGTCAATGATGTCAGATATCAAAGAAATAAAATCAGCTGCATTACAGCCTAGAAATAGAGATCCGAATTCATAATATTACTCATTAAAACTTGCGCTGTATATGTGTGTGTAAAATAAATTTTACATCGAACTCAAATTCAGTTCTAGATTGATTTATAAAGAATTTTATATTTTTACTTGTTATTTGACATCGTTTGAATGTTGTACATTACATGTAAATATATTGCAACTATTTTGATACATTCTAGTGCTTCTTCCCAATTATATGTTCCATAAATTGAATGTTTGTAGTGTTGAATGAATACTAATATTTGTTCAATTGAAATCAAAATTTTGAAGATTGATTTTGAAATTTAAAAAAAAATACATTCTCGTATAATTATAACTGTTCAACAGTTTTAGTTGATTTTGTTTACGTTGACTGTTTCAATTTAATTCAAAATAGCCTGAGTCAATTAGATGAGCCATTTTAACTTTAGTTAGTAATATATTTTTATTACAAATATTATTGAAATATATATTTTGATTATTCTGGCTTTTGAAATTTAACCAGTTTCTGTTTATTCCATCTCTTAGCCATGGAGTGACTGAGAAATTATATAAAGATATTTTTAGAAATTATGTAATAATTAGAATTTAGAGAAGGATATGGAAATAACGAACAGTATTAACTAACCCTAACCCTGTCAGCACTGTATACAGGGTTATTTTCGCCCCGTCTAATTTTCGCCCTTTCACACTTACAAACAATTTTGCCCCGTTTTAAATTCGCCCAGTCATAGTTTTGTTTAAGAAATTATACTGTATTCTTTGAATTCGCCCCGTTTTAAATTCGCCCAAATGATAATAGGGCGAAAGGGGCGAAAATAAAACGGGGGCGAAAATTTCCCTGTATACAGTATTAACTAACCCTAACCCTGAGAACTATTTTACTCATGAACAGTAATCAATCAAGATTTTGACATGATAATAATTCTTTATAGCAATTAACATAGTTTGAGTTTTTTTTTAAATAACCAGCCCCTTTGAGTGTTGATAAATTATTGGTTATTTCACTCCCAGAGGTCCATGTACTTTTAAACCTGAATAAACTGTAGGTCTTTATAGGAAAAAAGTACTAATCATTGATAACATGTTTGTACTTCATTCATTGATAGAACTGACATTACTTAAGAAAAAGAAATTATATTGTGCCTTTATTGATTTTAAAGCTGCTTTTGATAAAGTATGGCGAGTAGAATTGTGGAAAAAGCTTGTTAAATATTATATAACGGACAAATGCTTTAAAGTTATTTTTGATATGTATAATGATTGTAAATCTAGAATATCTCATAACAATGATTTTTCTGAATATTTTCCTTGTCGAAATGGAGTTCTCCAGGGTGAAAATTTGTCTCCTTTTCTCTTTGAATTGTATCTAAATGAGTTAAAAGAATTTTTAATAGAAAAGTTATTGGATTGAAAAAGTCTGTTTGAAGAAATTGAACAAAAGCTAGATGAATACTTATGAATTATGATTATGCTCTATTGAGATGATACTGTATTGATGTCTGAAACTAAGGAAGATCTTCAACATCAACTCACTTGCTGTCAAAAATATTGTGATATTTTGAAAAATGGAAATTACAAGTGAATATTGTTAAAACAAAAATTTTAATTTCTGGTAATGGCAGACAATCTTCTAACGTAGTATTTACTTACAATTATAATGAGAATGAAATTGTAAAAGAATTTAAATATTAATAAGTGTTTTGTTCCAAGAACTGGATCAATTTAGTACAAGAAAATTTACTGTGCAAAGATCAACCAGAGTTATGCATCATAAAAAAGCACGAGAATTAAATTTGTCCATGGATTGTCAAATTGATATATTTAATAAAATGGTTATCCCTATCCTTCTTTATGGTAGCGAGATATGGGGATTTGAAAATGTAAACATTAATGAGAAACTTCAATTAAAATTTTGTAAACTTATACTTCTTCTTAGGACATCTACTACAAACTATATGGTTTATGGTGAGCTTGGTAGATATCCATTGATTGTAAATATTTAAATGAGAATTATAATATTCTGGGTAAAACTTTTGAAATGTAAAGAAAAAAAAATCATATTTTATATAATTTTTATACAGCTATTCAATGTACAACAATGTTAATTGTAGTTCTAAATGGATTAAATGTATACAAAATATTTTACAAGAATGTGGTGTGAATTATATTTGGATGACTCAAAATGTAGAAATTGAAAAATAATTGTTTAATATAATTCAGCAAACACCCAGTGATCAATTCGTACAAAAATGAAATTCAGATTGTGATTCATTGAGTAAAGGCAAAATCTCTAAATTCTTCACTAAAAGTAATATTTCACATCTAGGCAGTATTTAAATATCAATGTATCAACCTATATTATAATTACATTAGCAAAATGTAGAACCAGTAATCATAAATTACCCATAGAATTAGGCTGATGGAGCAATATAGGCTCAAACCAAAGACTTTGTACTTTATGTAATTGTGATATTGGTGACGAATTCCATCATATTATGTCGTATCCAGCTGTAAATGATAGCAGTAAACTATTAATCCTATCAACATTCACAACTCGACCAAGTGCTTTCAAGTTTTCAAGTTTATTTTCATGTAAATAAGTATCCGTTATCAATAACCTTTGTAAATTCATTAATATAGTTAATAAGAGAGCTACCTCTCCAAGTTTATGTATACTATACAAATAATAAAGTTTTTTGTCTGAACATTATTTAATCTAAAACAATAAAATTCAACTAGTTAAAGTATGTAGATCTATTGGGTCTTTTATTGAGAGAGTTGGTTGCTGAATCTATGACACTGCCATTTTTCATCGTTTCATCGACAAATTAAAATCCAGGCTTTTTGATATCATTGACAGCTGCTTCTTCAACAAAAATGGAACTCGTAAGTTTACTTACCTCGTCATTGGTCATTTGAAAAATTATTTTGTTAAAACAGATTCTGATTGCACACATAAGTACTCTGAAGTTGACATCAAGAAGATGCTTGAGTTTTTGATTGACAATATCTATGTGGTTTTTGGAGACCGGGTATTCCAACAATCTATTGGAATTCCCATGGGTACAAATTGCGCTCCGTTATTAGCAGACTTATTTTTATATTCATATGAAGCAGAATTTATGCAAAATCTTTTGCGTGAAAAGAAAAAAACACTTGCTGTGGCCTTCAACTCGACATTTAGATATATCGACGACGTATTGTCAATTAATAATGATAATTTCCATTCCTACGTCGACACGATATATCCTGGTGAGCTTGAGATAAAAGATACCACAGAGTCCGACACTTCTGCTTCATACTTGGATATTTTACTTGAAAAAGACACAAATGGTAATCTAACAACCAAGCTATATGATAAACGTGATGACTTTAATTTTTCTATCGTCAACTTCCCTTACTTATGCAGCAATATACCTTCATCACCTGCATACGGAGTATTTATATCTCAGTTGATTCGATACGCAAGAGCATGCTCTACGTATGAACAATTTCTTAAACGAGGTAAATTATTGACAAGCAAGTTGATGAAACAAGAATATCAACAGTCTCGTTTAAAGTCATCATTTCGTAAATTCTATGGTCGATACAATGACCTTGTCAGCAAATACAATTTATCATTGAATGAAATGCTGACTGACGTTTTTCATACCAATTGTTAGTCCATTATTTATACACTGAATTGACCACGGATTTTTTCCGTTATTTCCTGATTATGACAATGAGCACACGGCGGGTGTGACCGGTCGGCAGGGGATGCTCACTCCTCCATGGCACCTGATCCCACCTCTGATGTTTCGGAGGTCCGTGTTTGCTCTGCTCTTATTTTGTATATTTGTTTAATGGACGTTGAGATTGATTACTGTTCATTATTTCCATATCCTTCTTGTTTTATTTTTCTCAGGCATGCTGTATCGTATTGTATTTATTGTATTGTATTGTACATAATATGTGTTTGTATTTTCTCTGTACTGTTGTGCAGTTTAAGAGAATAAAACTATTGAATTATATTGATAATATAAAACAAAATGACCTTAAGAAGAGAACATATAAAGTTGCTACAAACTTGTGTACATGTGTCGGCATAATGACTAGTAGTTTCATGTAGTATTTTACTCCTAATTTTATTTTGATATTTACTCTATTACATGTATTCTATAAATGCCTTTAGTAGGCATCCGTGGGATTGATTTTGTTTGCAAAATGAAATAAGAAGATGCATATAGTGTGACCAGCAATAAGTAAGAAATAGAAGCTAAATTATATCATATGTAATTAGGTCACCTGAGTACACTCAGGTGACCTGCTGCTATCTGTTTTCGTCCATCGTTGTCCATCGTTCGTCGTGCGTTAACATTTAAACATTTTCAGCTTCTTCTCTGAAACCGCTGAACCAATTTCAACCAATTTTGGCATAAAGCATATTTAGGTGAAGGGGAACAAAAATTTTGAATTTCGTGGTCCCTGCCCCTCTGGGTCTGGGGGTTGGGACAAAAACCACTAAAATTAGTGCAATCTTTAAAAATCTTCTTTACTACCGGACATTAAGCAGTCAAACTGTTGGTATCATTGTAGTCAGCATTGATTCCTCTACCAAAA